GGGGGGGGGGGGGGGGAAGAAGAAGGCACCGAAATTAAGAAAGGAAGCAAGATGAAAAGGAAGAGACACCTCCTCAACCACCGTCGGACTTTCTCCTGGCAACCAACCGACGCCGGAGTTCCGCCGAATGGACGACTGCCACTAGAATTAAGCAAAGAAGTAAGAACAAATGGAAGAAAAGGAAGAGACTCCTTCTCGACCATCGCCGAACTTTCACTCTGCAACCGACTAACGTTGGAGTTCTGCCCATTTGCCTACTGTCTTTGGATTCCTACTCTACACTGGACTTCCACCTATCACCGGACTTATGCCTTCCACTGGACTTCTGCCCGACATCAAACTTCCACCCGACACTTGGCTCCTACCTGACGTCAGACTTCTATCTGTTGTCGACCTTTCGTCGGACTTCTACCCAACGTTGAACTTTCGCTCGTCGCTAGACTTTCACCCATTGCCAGAGTTCTACCCATCATCAAATTTTTAACTAACATCAGAATTATGCCCGACCGCCAACTAACGCTGGACTTCTACCTATCTATCAACTGACGTTGGGCTCTGCCCGACCGCCAACTGATGACAATTTTTCTGCCCAGCCACCAACTAACGTCGGACTTTTGCACGACCTCTAAAATATTTAGGACCTCCGTCGCCCTCCGACAATATTCTTTCTAACCACTATCTTCCTTTGACTACGGTCCTTCCGACCTCTGTCATTAGATAACGATCATTCTGACCTCCATCGCCCACCAATTATAGGCCTTCCGACCAAATGAATATGTCAACATTGATTCTTTGTATTCCCACCATGCAATGTACTCTATATGATGTACATTAAGTCAAGACTTTCCCCCCAAGAAAGGGCCTCATTCGTAATCGACTACAAATAATAGTGGATTCCTTCAAACTAGGCTAATCCCCCAGGTGTTTTCCCTTTTTAGGATTTTCTACGTAAAAATCTTGGTGTATCTTAAGAATGTAGCACCCTCTCTTTCATCTGTGTGCATGCTGGATCTTTGTACAAGACTAAAATGCTAAACTTTATATATTCCTCTATCACCGTGAATATTCCAGCACGCAACAGTTCTATTAGATTATTTCTTACCTAAGTTTTCCTTATTTGAATGGAATATTTCTTTAACCTTTGCCCATATTTTTTTTAATTAAATTTTCCACAATTCATTGCTATATTAATCCATAAAAACTCAACCATTAATAAATTTCTATAGTTTATTTATATATTTTCATATTCGTATGATGTATTGAGTTATAGTTTTTAAATTATACTCTTGATTTATTTAGTTCATATTTAATATCATTAGAGTTTCATAGTTTCTTTCACATAGTTATGTAATTCAATTAATTTCCATTATTTAACTCTATTAAAAAAGAATATTTTTTCTAATTAAATTGTTAAAAAATTAATAAATACGATTTTAAATTATCAACTCTAAATTTTCTTGAATTTAATCATTATTACAAATACTTTTACTAAAAAAAACTTATTTATTCATGTAAATAAACAAATATAGTATTAGATGCAATTTATTTAATGCACCTGCAATTATACTTGAATACCTAAAATCCAAAAGACTTATTGTATAGATCCTCTCGATAATAAATAACTCTTTAAGCATTTAAGCGTGTTATTGTTGACGTAATTTAGCGATATTTGGCTTGTTGGTGAGTTTGTCTTGTTGAGAAATTCATTTTGATTATAAATTTGTTGAAATTAGAATTTGGATGGTTCTCAATTTTATGTCGAGAGTTTTCAATTTGAATATTGCTTTGAGATTTGTGTAGGATCATATGAATTTTCTAAGGATGTATCAACGATACAAAGTTAAATTTCACTTTGATTATTTTTGTGCCAATTTCCTTCCTACCACTCATATATTTCATTTCTACCACTCATATTTCATATAAAAATGAACTATGGGTGGCATGTATGTAATATTAAAGTTTTAGATGTTAAATATGTAAATAGAATAGTATAAAGTGGTATGTATGTAAATCTCCCTAGATTTTTCCATTTTAACGCACTTGTGCTCCTGCTGTTTGCTTTCCGAATCGCGAAGACCCAAGTACGGCATACAAAGCGTTGGTACGACCAGTTTGATATCGTAGTGCTCCACTCGAGCACGCTTCTCCCTTTCCTGTGAGAGCCAGGAGAAGCGAAACCGTGCACACGGGTCGGCGAAGAGATCTCTCTTCCCTCCGTAGCCCTGCCCGGCTGGATCGAATACTAGGCCGCTAGCGGTAGGGTTCCGCCTGTTCAGCTGGCCGTTCGCAGGAGACGCCCCCACAGTCCAACAGTTTCGCCGGCGAGTTGTGGTCCATCGGCCTCAATTTCTTGCTCTTCTACCAATATGAGCGCCTCCGGTGGTAACTCGGACTTTTTGAGGAGCCCGGCTGGTTCGACCATCGGAGGAAACGGTTCTGGAAGTAGCTCTAGGAGATACGGCTTGCCGTTCTCGACTTCGAATTTGATCCAGGCTCCGTTGTCTGCTCTGCTGGAGTACTCTGGGATTCTTCGACCAAGATCAAGCCACCTTGAGAGTGAGAATTTGATCGGCCGTGGAATCATCGCCGGCACAGGGGAGCGCGGTACCGCTCAGGTTGATGAATCCTTCGTCACCGATAGCAGCGGTGGGGAAGTATCCATTAGGATCTTTGACATTGGCGATCAGGAGAATCCAAGAGCGAGTACCGGTATTCCACAGTCTTTGCCTGTTGGCCTGATAAGGGAAGGCAGTGTTGGAGATACTGATGTCTCTGTGGACCGGATGCATACGGTCTTGGAGAGACAGAGAGAAGAGGGAACGAGTAGTGATGCTGGAGTTGGGTTCTCCTCATTTGCTGGAGCTACGCCATCTCCATCTGTATCGGGTTTTGGGGGCCAGAGCGTGGAAGGGGAAGGAAATGTAGCAGGAGTTAATAGTAGGGATTCTCCATACCAGAGATACGATATACAGCAGGCTGCTAGGTGGATTGAGCAGGTCCTTCCATTCTCGCTGCTTCTGTTAGTAGTTTTCATTCGACAGCATCTGCAAGGTAGTATGTCTTTGGTGCTCCGCTGCTCCTAAAAGTTGTTCTTTCAAGTAGTTTGTAGGTTGTTGTTATTGAATTTAGCTAATTGTGCTATTGTGTTAAACATGGTACTCGTCACTTATTTCAAAACTTCTCTTCATTCACTAACTTTCAGCGAGTATTTTAAGTAAAAGACAAGGTTGATGGTGGGTCGAGATGCTTTGTCCTCTAAATGCTCACAATATGACCATTTGTTTCTAGGAAACCACTTGAAGACTTCTCTTTACAAAGCTAATCAAGAGGAATATAATAGGCCTTGATTGGCTTCATTGTGCTTTTTGGGATGTCGAACTATTCTGAATAAATGAATTGACCAAATGTTCGTGGAGCCAGAGGCATCTATTTAAATATTACCCTGAACTTCCAACTTGAGGTGATATAAGGAAAATATGATTGGATGTGAAAAGGAGGCCAAAGGAAGTGAAAGGAAGACAACCAAGTTAAAAATCTAAAATATTAGCAGATGCATGGAAGATGACCATGATCTTATGATGATAAGTTATAAGCTCTTTGAATCTAGAGTAATTATCAAGAGATTGGTGAACAACTAAGACAAAAAAAGATGTGATAATCTCTTGGATCTAATCAACATAAAAGTGGTGGGAAATTTTCAGTAAAAATTATTATTAAAGGAGATGCAAAGCTGAATTCTTTCTTTCTTTGAATGGAAGTAGGAAAGGCTATACATGACAGTCGTGAAAAGGAAAAGGGACAACGAGCATCCATGACAGTCGTGATTGGTTCGATCATGTTGTATTGCACTGTGGGCAATACTGTTGGCAACTTTATTGTCACAATATATTATTATATGTCATTCCTATTTGATTTTTAAATATTCTAGTATAATTTTAATCCGATGGGAGTTCACAAGTACTTTGAGCAATTGCTTTGAATGAATTCAATACCTGATCTTAAGACAACATGTTTTTTCTTGCTTCACTATGATCACATTTTCTTTCAATAGTATTCAATATGCTGAAGTGTATCTCCCATTTACTAGCGATATTGCATAGTTAGTTAGTACTAATATAACCTTAACTTATAGGTTTGCATATTTTTAATAGAGAATCCCTTTCAGGATTTGATTTCAAATAAACAAGAACTCTATAAGCAACTTTAAAGTAAGATTGAGTTGGTTGGCTCATAATTTGACTTATGAGCTATGTTGCATCGATATTGATACGGTGACACGGATATGACACGATACGGATATGGGACACGTCAATTCTTAAAAATACAGGATACGGGTACGATACAGACACAACATTATAATTTATAAATCATACATAGAAATTAAAAAAACAATCAAAGAAAATAATTTTAAATTACAAAAAAAATGAAAGTAACATCATTTGCAGCCTTGTGTAGCTTATAATATCAAAATAAAAGTAAGCATTAAATGTCTAGTACAACAACAAAAGTATAAACATAAATTGTCTAGCACATGAAGTTTCAACTATTCAATAGAAGGAATGATATCATTAGCTTCTTTAGTGGTTTGTCTTTGAACTTCTATATCATCTTCAATAAATATCATAGCTTCTAATTTAGGCTCATCAAGTGAAATGTTAGCAATTTCTAATATTCCCATATCATCAAAAGACTCAAATCCATCTCGGTAATGAGAGAACCTCACTCGCAGCCGCGGAAGTAAATAAGATCGGTCTTTTTTTTTTTTAGTTTTTTTTTCAACGGACATGGATACGCGTGTCCTTTTGAAATTAAATAGTATTTTAATTGGATACGGCAAAGCCGTATCCGACACGTTTCGGTGACGTATTGGAGTCGTATCCGTGTATCGGTATATCAGATACAACACGCCTTCATAAATAGGTGTATCGGTGCAACTTAGCTTATGAGACATACTGCAAAAGTGGTGTTGGGATAGGTGTGAAATAGATAGATTAATTTCCTAACTATTTTTGATATTATCCACTGTCAAATTCTATTTTTTCTTCATCTATGTTCAATTTTGACTTGATTTAGTTGGAGTTTCACATGGCATGCAATCAGTTTTTTTAATTTCTCTCAAATTCTGATAGAGCCACTTCTATACCCATGAAGTATTTGAACTTGTTGAGTTTTTTATTTCAAAAATTTGTGGTGGGTTTTTTCTTAGTAATTCATTTTCTTATTTTTCATCATATGTAATAATTATATCAACATCCTTTTGTTATGACATCCTTCTAATTCTTAGTTTTTAGTACCTCAAATAGAGTTTGTGGAATTTTAATAGTGATGGAGCTGATATTTGTAAGAAAGACTTTATAGGTCATAGAAAATTCTTGAAAGGATATGTACTGGGTTATGGGGGTATAGAGGAGGTTGTGTGGTAATACTTTGATCATTGTTACGTGCATTACCTGATATTGGTTTTGAGCCTTGAGCTTGTTGGGGATTTTAGATGGCCTTTATCCTCCTTGTATATAGCTGAAGAGGTTTAGTGATAGGAGTAATATGCTATATGTTGTTGTGTTTGTATAACTAAGATGTAATAAAGAAGATATTAAGTTCATCAAACTTTTCTTTTAGATTTGGAGGAGGGCTGAGAAGATGATGGAATTTTTTTATTTCCTTTCAGAAAGGCCTTCACAAATTGAGACCCCATGCTTCTTTCATTAAAATGATATGGTTTTGTAGCCTCTGGAGTTCTCCTTTGTGAGGACCAGTCTAATTTCACCCCTTATAATGGTTGACTTATTGGAAGATTAGTTAAAAAAAGGTTAGATATTAATGTGAATAAAAATAAAACAGAGGTAAAAATTAAGGTTGGAAAGAGAATCCTAACCTTACTTTGATACCATATAGAAAAGAGGAAGTGGCTAAAAATCTTGCTTTGTTGATTCCCGCAATAGATCTTTATAAACAAAACTATCTAAAAAATAATTGGAAACTATGAATGAAAAAGAATTTAAAAATTAAAATTGATGTCTAAACTTCCTATCTTGGCTGATGGGAGAAGGGAGCAATTTTTGTCTCTACTCTTTCCTTGTTAAGTACATATAGCCAAGGCACATGTATTTTCTTATTTCACATATAAATTTGTAGCTTTTTTCATTCCTGATTTGGCAATCTTAATGTTGCCAATTTCGCCATCCCTTTAGATCTTTTCAACAAAATTAATTGCATGGTTTAAAGATAAAGTTGGCCAGTGGACCATCCTCACAATCTTCCCCTAAGGTGATGAGACTAGAGATCTCCATGTACTAATGATGCCATTTTTTTTTAATTTGTCACTAGTCTAGTCTTTAAAGGGCCTAGGTTGACTGAACGGTTGCTTTCTTGAACTTAAATATATTTTGACGGACAAATATCAAGTTTGCTTATGGGTATACTCAAACCAAGTTATAAGTGTAAAATAAAATGAATTTGGTATCCTATTTTAGGCAAGATTCAAGCAAGATTTAGTTTAAATCCTATTAAATAGAAGTTTGGTAACTGTAAATCTGATTGTTTTGATAAGTCCATTTCAATTTCATATTGGTTAATTCTAGGATTTGTTGGATCTCACCATTCATAGTATTTAGGCATTAAAGGGTTTCCCCTTACAAATTATAAATATTGAAACAAATACTTAAACAATTTATAAAGATTTAGCAAATTTTACGGGTATAATGCAGAACAATTTTCAGCTTTTAATTCTCCAAGGATTTACTAAATTTGGATTTATAGGATTTATTAAATTCTACTTAAGTTATTACTTGTAGCCAAACAGCCCGTTAGGTTTTAGGGCTAGTATGAATCAAATATGTTGTTAAATCTCTAATTAAGGTAATGAATATTACTTTATAGCAGATGAATACAGCGGTTAATGTCAGATGGTTTTCATTATAAATCTGCTACGGATTTATAATCATCCAATTTGCAGTCAACAGATTTGCAAAGTACCTAATCATGTTTTTGCTCCATATGCACTTCTTTGTATTCTTTTCTTGTAGTTTAATTATAATTTTCTTTTTAATTCTTCTTGTTGTCTGCCTGTAGGTTTCTTCATTACGATTTGGCTTTCTGCTGTAATGTTCAAGTCAAATGATTTATTGCGTAAGCAGACAGCTTTGAAGGTGGAATCTCTTTTCTATAGTATTTTCCATTTTTACGATATACACATCAATCTAGCTGATGAAATTATGAATGCTTGAACTATTAGGGTTTCGTATGAATTGTTTTTTCTTTGATTTTAGACATTTCCATGGATTTATAGTCTTTAATAACACCATGTATTTCTTTACATGAGTGCTATATATTATAGCACAAATGCTTCATTACCTTTAATTCTTTCTTTAATGTTTGGTGTTAGATACTGATGAACTTCATCGTAGAATAATCCATTCAACTCTTTGTTTCATATGGTGTTTTATTGATGGCTGGAGAATTGTTAGGGTAGTAGTACTTGCTTGGGTATTTTCTGTTCTCTGCAGTTTGTTTCTCAAGGTAAAAAAAACTAGATAAATTTCAATTTGATTTGAATAAGTTTTTCGTTTAAGAAATGAGTTGGTGCCTTTAGTGACAACCGCTGTGTATTGTGGAAGCAAAGCCATGCCACTCTGCACCAATACCAGCCCTCGTCTTAAATAAGTAGTTTAAACAGGTTATTTGTATCAAAGGATGTCCATCATTTTAGGGTTAGCGGCTTGAATTCTGAAAGGAAAATTTGGTACGAATTCAATTGGATGGAGAATATGCAGTGAAGATTTCATAATGTCCATTTATTTCTTTTCCATTTATTCTGATCAGTGTTCAGCATTTTTATAAATATTTTTTTATTAAATTGAAGAAATCTCTAAACAGTTAAGATCTCTATCATAACAGTTTGGGCTTAAAATTTGTATGTCTTCTGCTCTGCAGGACAGTTGCAATTTTTTATGCTTCCAAAAAAACTTCTTACTATAACCTTTCCCCGATGTATTTGAAAGTTCTTTACGATGTTGCTTCTACATTCCATTCTCAAGTCATGCTTAATTTGCTAAAGATTTGCCCTTTCAAAGGGGGAAAAGGGATGGCAGAGAATATTGGTCTTCAAAGGTTGTGTAGTGGAAACTTTTGTAAGCGAGGATACTGATATTAAAGCAAACACCCTATCAACTTGAATGATTTAAAAATCTATAAGCATCCAATATTCAGAATTTTATTAGTCTCCTAGTTGGTCTGACTTTTTGTTCTATGCTATCGTTTAATTGCTTAACTGTATTTCATGACATTTTTTGCTTCTGAATTCTGATTATTGGGTTTGGTTGGATTGATATTGTTGTGTTAATTATTGCTGTCCTCATTCTTGTTCTTTTGCAACGTTTATAATAATTAATTCCGCTTAGATATATCCCAATGATTTTCTCAAGCCTTTTTTTGTTTGTGTTCTGTTAAACTTGCTCCAATGGATCCACTCGTTAAGGTTTTCTTATATTTACGTGTCTTTTGATCATTGCATCTATCTCCTTTGTAGGGAGAGAGGAAAATTTCAGTACTTGTTGGAATTGCAGTAATTTTCACCTTTCATGTGGTTGGAGTGTATTGGTGGCACAGCAATGATGGGCTGCTTTATCCGCTGGTTATGCTTCCCCCAAAAGAAGTTCCACTGTTTTGGCATGCAATATTTATCATTATGGTGAATGGTAAAGTCTTCAATCTTTCAAGATGAATAATTCCTTAAATTTGGTTACCCCTGTTCTTACATTGTTGTTTTGCTATCATGATTTATGTATTAAGTTATGGTACTGTAAATGTGAGATGTTTTGGTTTGAACGAGATTCATGTACCTGTACTAGAATTTCGTAAAAACAAGACCTTGTGGATATGAGGACCGAATATAGCACCTGTCTCTTAATGTACGTAACTGCTAGCTCCCAATTAAGTTATTTTGGAAAAAATTATCTTTATAGGTGTACGTTGAAGTGTTTTAAATTTTTCTACAATTCTTTTCCATGCTTGAAATATTTCTGCATGCTGACGTTAGCTCATTCATTTAAAATAGATATGTTTGTTGATTTCTTTGTAGTGTGTTGTCAGGTGAAAGAAAATCATATACACAGTATAAATTCATGCAATGTTTTATTGAAGAGTCTGGTGAGGCAATGTTGTTGCTCTTATGCAAATGCAATGCTTTTACGTAATTGAATATTATGGCATTTTTTTCATGATGTGAGGCATATGCCTCAGAATTAAACCATTAATTTAATAAAAAAGATGAAATAATAAATAACATACTAACATATAAAAAATGTTAGATTAAGGTCATCATAAAAAGTCAAAATAAAGCCATTACAAGTTATAGATGGCCACAAACAATGCTAAATAAATTGTCTCCCTCACGCCTATTCAACATAAGATAGTCTAAGGTCATACTTTATGAATTCAAAAGTTTTACCCTCTCTCATCACTTGGTCTTCATTAAAATCATTATTGCATTTAGTTGCTTTCTCTTCTTCTTCTTAATACTAAAAAAAAAGAAATAGATTTCCAACAATAATGGTGTTAAAAGTGAAGCAGCAGTAGTATAGCAAGGAAAGTGGTGCAGTTGTGATGGCAACATGGTAGGATTAGTTACGAGTGCGAGGATCCTAGGGCATGCTGCTATGAGTTTGATGTCGTGCAGTTTTTCTCAAGTTTGGTTTGATTTAGGTATAGTAAATATGCTTAATTATATAATAAAGTTTATAAATTCAAATTTTAAAATGATATAAGCCAAAAAATATTGAGGCTTGGACTCTTGAAAGTTGCACTAAATTGGGCTGAGGCATATGCCTCGCCCCTGCTGATGCATAAGCTTCATCTTGCAAACATAAGGCATACGGCATATTGCCTTATTTATAGAATTTTATTGAATTCATCTGGCAAGCATAAGACATACACCATATTGCATGTAATTTAAATTGCATTGAGGCGAGTCCTGTGGTGGGCCTCTAATTGTGCAATTTAAACATAATTCTTATGAGCATCAGTCTTTTGTTTCATATGAGTTTGGCTTTGGTGTTTGAGTTTTTCAACGGTAATTTTGTTTCACAACATTTACCTCTCCTGTTTGTGGAATTTAAAAGTTCATATTGGATTAGCTATCTGCAAATAAAATTAGCAGTCAGTAATAACATAGGCATATAACAATGTTATATGGAGATTTAAGCATGTACATTCTCGGAAGTTCAGATTTCATCTTGATGCATGTGCTTTTTGCTGTTGGTGACATGTAAAATTAACGGAGTTTCTTGGAAGTCTTCTTTTACTGCCCGAGATATATATATTTATCTCACCTTAATTATTGTGAATCATGAGTATTTACCTTTCTGAATTACCGCTGAAATAAACAAATCAGAAGTTTCACCATTACTTATTTGATTGCTGTGCTGTCATGCGCTACTTGCAAAATGGGTCAACGATAGAGAACCTTAATACTTTTCAGATCTTAAGTGCCTCTAAGATATTTTTCTTTGGAAGTTTCTTAGTAAAATAAGGTCATGTAGCTACCATTAAAAAAAAGGTCACGTAGCTACTATAGTTCTTTAAATACTTAGAGAAGTTATTTGTTCATTGTTTATCTAGTCAAGTGAGTCTCCAGTGTTGCCTTAGCAATTTCTTATGAGACTTTGCAATGCATAATCTTAATCCTTACTATTGATGCTTTTTTGCTCCTCTGTAAGTTCTTTCCAAGTTAACTTAGATTCTTAGCAAAATGTGATCATTCATTTTATTTGCTTTCTTTGCTTGAATCTCTTTTTGCATTAAGATGTGGATATTAATTCCATTCCTTTTCTTTCCAATATTTTTAGTTGGAAAGGAACTTAGTAATTTTTGTTAGAAATGTTGTGTAGAATTTGTTTTATATAAACTGCAATGAAGTGAATACAAATTTCTTTGGCTTTTGAGTTTAATGCATCCATTTGGGCCACACAACTTTCTTCCTAGTTGAGTTTTTGTGTTGCTTTGTAAGAATTGCATAAGATTGCCTTTGGTTTAGGATTTCTTGTGAAATTTTTTATTTCCTGCTATAGTTCATGTTTCATTGCTATTCTTCAGTAATCCCTTATTAATTATTTCTTTCCTTACAGATACTATGGTACGTCAGGCAGCTATGGCTGTGAAATGCGTCCTGTTAGTGTATTATAAGAATAGTAGAGGCTGCTACTATCGAAAGCAGGTAGTTTTGTTATATTTCTTAAGAAAGCAATGGGTTTTTTTACCTGGAATTTTTACCTGTTTTATTATTTTATGTCCTTAATTTATGATGATTTATGGAACTATACTCTTGTAGATATTGCTAGAATCACCTTTTTGTTTTTGTTTTGAGATTAGTGGTTAGAAAGTTATTGAAACTTACTTTTGGAATTGAGTTGACATATTTGTTTGGCATAAAGTGAATGAAAATAATGCCTATTTTTGAAGCTCATTTTCATAAATTTGAGAAGTGAGTTTCAATTTTGAGAGCAAGTCACCTTTAGTGTTACTTTTTACATTTAATAATGTCAGAATGATATATGTTAATTGAATGATATATTGAGAATATTATTTTTTCTTGTATAATAAACCAGTTAAAAATTAATATGAGGGAGCGTTAAAATGAAAACATTGAATTGCATATTCAATATTTCATGTCTTTCCAATGTCATGTGTCTTGTGTGCATCCTTGGGCACCGCCATTTCTTAAGTTTACTTTGCTGTAATGCTACAACAATGGTTTGATTAGTAGTTGTAATAATCCTAGACATGATATGAAGCACGTGCATTTGTAGTGTTTTTGTTACATCATGTGTGATACTTGGGCATTTGGACACTCTTTACCATTGTAATGAGCATTTTATGGTTGGCATGTTTATCCTTTTATTTTTTAAAATAAATTTAACGGATTGAGGAAACATCTTCTTCTATTCAAAAACTAAGCCATCCCCTAATTTCATTCTATACCAAATCAATCTTGTTTTAGGTTCCTCTTTTTTTTTCCAATTTCTAGTATTGTTTCTTCTCCTAAGGTTTATGCTTTATAATTTATTTACAAATTTGATTTATTTTTTGAATATGCATTGACAATACTTTTAGGTATTACTATGTTGGCTTTGAAATTGCTCATGAATTTGAGAGGCGATCTCACCCTTAAAAGTCTTTTGGTGTCTGGGATTGGATGCTAAGTAACACAGAGTTTTCAAAGGATATTTTACTTTACTAAATATTTTCCTTAGACATAATTTGGATGATCTTGGGTTTATATTGGATGTAGGGGATTGATGTGCAAGCCCTCAAGTTTAATTACATACTAGATGCGATGATACTTGATAACACTCTCAATTTAAAGCGGCACACATGCTTTGTTTAGGGGTGGTTAAATGTATGCTTTTATTTGGGGATGACCCGATCAATTCATGCAATATCTCATGGTTCATGTTATCTCTTGATAGACCCAATCTACTAACAATAAAGGGTTTAATGCTGTATCATTTTGAGAATCGGATTAGCAATTATATATTGCTTCATCTCATATATCCCAAATAGTCTATGATGGTGAGTACACTTAATGCGTTGATCGATAGCTGAATCAAATCAATTCAAAGAGACTAGCATTGTTGCCATCAGTTTAGATATGTTTTTTATTGTGCCAATACTTTAAATCATTAGTTCAATGCACTGGGTTCGGTTGATCGATCCATACTGAAGTTGGCTTAGAGGCTTGGAGCATGGCTAACTATTCGAGATTGAATCTTAGATTCACTGTGGAAAGAAGAGCACCCACCCTAGACCTAGAGCATACGAGTTGATATGTTTTGAGTAATTTATATATATATATGTTTATAAAACGATCTCAAACAGTTCTATAGTTAAAAAAATTGAGCCACCAAATCACTAATAGATTTATTTAACTTGAAGGAAGATAAATTTTCTTGTGATGATTGCTAAGTAATTCCAGGAAAGAATTTGACAATAAAATAAGTAGTAGTGATGAATGTAGATCTAAAGAATATAAATAATGCAATTAAAAGAAACAATTGCCATGAAGTAATATGAAGGAATTTGAAAGGTGATAGATGATTAGTCTTTTAAGATAGCTTGCCAAGGGAGGTAAATTGAACTTATATAGCTGTGCCAATCCTAATATGGGATAGGATGACTAATTCTATTAAAAATGTTATTTTAGAAGTTTTAGGAGAGTTTTAAAAACATATTATATACTAATACAATATGTTATTAAGGAAGATAAATGCATTTTGAAAGAGTGACAAACTTTGAATACTATTGAGACTTATAATGATTAAAAAAGAAGTTAAAAATCTTATAAGTAGTGTTGGGAGAAAAGCAAGAGGTACAACTTTTAATGATAAACTTAGTACTAAAGAAGGAAAAAATGAGACGCACAATAACTAAAACAAGAGTTAAGAGAATATAAGTTTTGATCAAGTCAGATGCATTCAAAGGTAATAGGATCTTAGCTAAACTTGAAGATATCAATTCTTTTTTTCTGACCAAGTCAAGTCCATTCAAAGGGTATAGGATCTTAGCTAAAGTTGAGTATATCAAATAAAGATGAAAATAATAGTTTGAGAAATTATGAAATGATAATGTAAGGAATGAGTTATTTGGGAAGAACCTATTGACTAAAGCAATGATATATATTGTATATTGATAAAAAGAAATTAGGTAGAGTTATTTGTGAAAGAAGATTGAAAAGGGTGAAGTTTTAGGTCCAAATGAGATAACTTTTGAGAGTTGGAGAGTTTTGAGAGATATTTCAATGGTTTTGTTTAAAAAATTTTCAAGTGAATTTTGAAGACTAAAAAGATGCCAGATAATTGGAAAAGAAACATTTTAGTAGTAATATTTATGAACAAAGGAAATTATTAAGATTGTTCTAATTATAGAAGAATCAAGCTTTTGAGTCATTGAATAAAACCGTGGAGAGACTAATAGAACATTGCTTTAGAAACATTTTGTCATTTTCAAAGAATCGATTTGGTTTATACCAGAAAGTATTGTTTAAACTTGTGCAATATGAGACATGCCTCAACACCTTTAACATCTTTTAGGAATTTTTTTCCATGAGATGCACACCTCATGGTCTCTTATATGAGGCACGCCTCGCCTCAAAATTAAGGTGGTGTATGCTTCTTTCTAAGGGTATTTATTAAAAACCCTCTTTAAGTATTTCTTCTAATAAAAAAAATCCAATCTACCCCGAGCTTAGGTTTCTCGGCCTCACATACATGCCTCACCTGCATGCTTCTGTCTCCTTCTTGTAGTGCCACCACCATCACCATCTCCTTCCTGCAGTGCCACTAACTCTTCCTTCTTGCCAAACCTTCTTTCTCCACATCTTTGCTTCTTGCCTGTAAAATATTTTTTTCTTTATTAAACCGAAAAATTCTAATTTGTTTATATAGGATTTTTTTTTTATGAACATTTGCATGTTACAACTTTTTTTTTTTTTGAATTAAAATTTTGATTTTAGGATTTTTTAGAATGTTTGGAGGTAAAGAAAAGAAAACAATGGGACAAAAAAGACCGTCAAAGAAATATAGCATGATATTAAAATTGAGTAAGTGCGAATGTTTATGCTTTGAAATGATTTTGATAAGGCTGTTAAAGGTGGTATGAACAGAATGAAAGAACATCTTTTCGGTTTGTTTAAGAATGTTGTATTGTGTGCTAAAATGCATGAGTTAACAGAGCATATTCAAGGCTGTTAAATGTGGTATTACTTGAATGAAAGAACATCTTTTTGGTTCTAATAATAATATTGTATTGTGTGCTAAAGTGCCTGAGTTAACTTAGCATATTCTTGCTTACATGAGCAAAACAACGATGTCGATGGAATGATAATTTAATGACAGAGTTGATAGCAGGGGTCATATTATGGTAGTGTGTCTAGTGGTAAAGATTCTATGTATTCTTTGCCACAAATATTAAATAGAGGTACAACAAAATACATGGTAAATGTGGAGGATGACGAGGATGATGGCGGGAGGGTAGCCTATAAAATGTCTCTTCAAAATGAAAGAGAGGAACACATGCATGTTTGTAGGACATTGGAAGATTCGTGTATGAAAATCTTATTCTATTTATTGTAGCAACTTTCACCTCCTTTGTTAATATGATATGTTCTATAGGATCGTATGATTGAGGCCTTAAACTTCTATCGATATATGAGCTTAGGACTTGGATAATAAAGGAGAAATTGAACAATATTGAGAATGTCATTGAAGAGATCTAAAGATCTTGGACATAGGCTAGAGTTACTATCATGTCTAATGGTTGGTATGATATTAAAAATAGGGATTTGATCAAAATTTTGATTAACAATCCCAACAACACTTTTTTTAAGACTTTTGAAGCATATCAGGTGAAGGATTCAGACTATAAATTTGAGCTTATTAATGTAGTCATATAGAAAATTGCATTGCATTTAGCAGTACAAGTTGTTAAAATGCTAGTTCTTATAGGGTAATAAGAAATAAGTTTATGAATAGGAAGCATATGGTATTTGACTCAGTGTGAGACACATTGCATAGACTTAGGTCTTGAAAAACTTGGTGAGTTGTCTCAGCACAAAAATACTTTAATTAAAGCCAAGAAGATTAGCAAGTTCATCTACAATCACAATGGAGTTTTGGCATTTGATGAGTAAGTTTTCTTATGAAGAACTCTTATGACCTACTATAACTAGATTTGCAAAGACCTGCTTGACTCTACAGAGCATCCTTGAAGCTAGGCGACCTGTGGAGGCTTTGTTCACCTCCATATAATGTTTAAACTGTGCTTGGGCCAAGAAACAGAAAGACAAAGTCAAAAAATTGTTTTGAATGATATGTTTTGGTTAAGTGTGACTGTGTGAGTTATGCTATAACAACAACAACTAAACCTTTGGTTCAATGTTTTAGTATGGTTAATGTGAAGAAAAAGTTTATTGTGGGTTTCATTTATAATACAATTGATAGGGTTAAGGAGTTGATAACAAATAACTATTGAGGAGAGAAATCTAATTAAAAGAAGCTTTGAGAAATAATTGATGAGAAGTGAGAGCTTTTGTTTCATCATCATTTGCACACTAAAAGATATTACTTAATCCTTAATTGCAATATGTTGAGAACATGTTAACAAGTTCATAGATCAAATTTGGTTTGTATGATTGTATGGATAGATTGGTGGTTGACTCAA